ACCTCAAATCTAAGGAACGTATACTCAACATTTTCCTACCATAAGATGCAGATAGTCACAGCCTGCCGGAAATCACAGGTCTACAAGGCTCCACAAGGTCCAAGGCGTTTGTAATTCGCACTTATTCCGAATCTCGGTACCTCTAGTGTCTTCCCCGCACCTTGTGGTTTCAGGCAGATTTCACATTCGATTGACACTGGATGGAAAGTGTCTTCCTTCAAATTATCTACGAAGCGAAACGTAGTTTCGTAACTTTTGTAACGAACTTTTTCACTGCTAATCTCGTTCTTAATCAGTGTTTTCCTACAAAATAGCTGGTTTTTGGCGAGTACTAGCACCAATAAGCCATCTCGATCATTCAGCATGAAGAAGATACTAAAGGTGATTTCTTTTTGTTTTATTTTTTCGAGTCTACCTAGTTCCCTTCTCAAAGACTGGTTGAATAGTGAAACAATTGATTCTCTGCCAGTTTGAGTGTCAAAAGATTACTGATTATTGATTTAGCGAATAGCCATGTGCCATTGCATAACGTGAATTGAGGCAGGCTTGATTCGTCTCATAAGTCTAACCTGACCCGCAACTCATTGGCACTCGGGATTGTGGCGGACTGGCAAAATTGTCACTTGGGCCGAGTCGAAACCTCATTTCGCCCTGAATGATGAATCCTTTTTGGTAGACAATTCAATTGAATTTTCAAACCTTATATTCATTTCAGTGCGGCAAATTCAAATATTAGTGCTTACTTCACCTTGCGCTTTCCAAAGTGGCTTTAGTTTTTATGGAATTTTACTAATTATATCCTCGTACGTTCTGTGAAGTCTTAAAGTTTGACTTATGCTGTTACGCGTCATAACAGGTTCGGAAAAGATTATTTCTTCTGTGGGAAGATGGTTAACTACCCAATCCAGTGTCCGTATCTCCCTAGAGTCTTGCTTTAAGACTGCTCTGATCCATCTTATTTTACCGTCTGACTCCTGAATTATGGTCGACGAGACGATCTCCTTCAAAGCTCTATGGAAAGGGAAGACTGAAGCTTAAAGTAGAAAATGTTGACAAAACTCAGTGTGCACCATCTGGATCTCGGCTTCCGCAGATTTACAAAGGCAGAGATGAAATGCTGTGGGCGTATTCTGGTTGAGTAGTGTGCCCTAAATGACTTAAATGATTGCCATTTATACGGAGCGGTCCGTATGATGCTGTGTGAGCGTGGCAGTATGCTTTCACATATTTCCGTGGATACGGACTTGCTTTTTTCCATGCCGGTTAAATCGGTTTCTGTCGGTTCTTGGGGATCCTACCGTTGCTGTAACTACTCGGATGACAGGTCGAATAGTTTAGACATCTTCGCATTAAATATTTTGAAATTTGACACAGTCGGTGTGTAGTCCAGTCCACTCTGAGATGGCACTGTAGGCTCGATTGATTTCGGGGCAAGAAGATGGAAATTGATGTCATGCAATCACGAGTGGCACTGCGCGTGTGCGTGTGAATGTTTGAAGATTCACTCTTAGCGTCAGATTCAATATTACATTAAATTAGGAATTGCCATCTCTGCCCGATATCGACATGCTGTACAGTTGCCGTTCCAGCCTCTGAATTCTTCACACGTGCTGACAGATACGGACGCATTCAACTATTTGTCTTTATGTGCCGGTAAGACTCATCACATTCCTCCACGCTCATCGCCGTCCACCCTCTACACTAACCGCTCAACACTATTGAGTGAGTCGAGCTCTTGCT